AAAAACAGATAACAGATTAAATTTTTATCAAAACTAGAATGTTATTTTTAACTTTTCAAATCAATTTTATCTGATAATGTTTTTAAGTATGCTAACAAGTACGCACATGTGTACATTTACTATTGTAAATATATTCTTCCAAAGACTTTAAAAACTTTTTAATTACATCTATTTTAATTGAAGTGTAATAACACTATAAAAGGTATTAGACATACATATTTGGAAGTGGTTATTAGTAACTTCGAGACAATTTAAAATAGATCTCGCTTTTTAACATGAAAAGATGATTAAAATACTCGTATAATTAACAACAATTATATTTATCGTGAAAAAGTATAAATTCCCTTATCTGTATAAATTCCTAATAGCTTTTGCGTTTCTCTTCCAGTGAATTGAAAGGAATGACCATGAATCTCTCGTTATAAATTGAACGTTTTTATTTTTTGTATTGAAACGTTATTGAACAAATTAGAATTGATCGGAGGCGAATGTTAACGATTCTGATCGATGATACTCCGTATTTATCTGTGTTTAAAGGTATACATACGGACACTTCGTACTGCAAAGAGCGTCGAAAAAAGACTGAAAACGCATACTTGTCATACAGAAATCTTATAAACTCGTATTCAACATATCACTTGACCAATAAGGAAGGCACGTGATCATGTTTCATTCAGATGTCAGCACTGCGTACATTCCCAGGACAGTAACCAACTTTATCGGCGGTGGTCTTTTTTCATTCCGGATCGAATTTAACAAATTTAAACTGTAGCTTACGTAAAACTTATATCAATTCCTCTGCATTAACACTTATTTAAGGGTGTATTTTCATTCATCGGTGCAGTGAAAAAGATAATTTTCTTCAATTGTGTATTCTAAAAGTGTAACCGTGGTATATAACTATAACTCATTGAAAATGTTCTTCCAAAACGATGTGCTTCAATTTACTGAAATATCGCACTTAAATGTTTTTAAGAGAATAATCTGCCGCTCTGATAAACAAAACGGAGTTAGTAAACAGATGACTGAATAATATTTCAAAAACAACAAGATTAACCTAAAAGAGAGAGGCAAAATATTGATGTTATATAAGCCACTTATGTTCCCTTTTTTTTGTTCTATGAAACAAGACACGAACGTTTCAGTGAAACCACGTTTTTCAAATTATTTTTCACGATATATATTTGAATAATGAATTGATCAAGCTTCATTAAAGTTTACACATAGATTACCCTTTATCTGGTGAACTAAGGTTATCCCTGTATGAACACTACTTTGTTTTTATTGTATAAAAGAAGTTTCAATTTCACTGAATATCGTCTTCATATGATTGATGACTTTGAAGTGACAGTGACAAAATCACTTAAATTCTGGCAGGAATAACAATTTAGCAAACTTTACTTTCTTTTTTATCCATTACGTGAACTTAATAAGAGTACGATTATAAGAAAGCACATTTATAGCCTTTTATAGAACATAAATAGTGGTATCATAGAAAAGTAGCTTTCTTAAGTACCATCTTTTTTTTTATCGGTCCGGTCAAATTAAAAGCACATTATTAAATTTTACGATCAAGTAG